TTTAAGCAGATTGAGATGAATTCAGCAGTAAATTAAAAGTAATGAAGTATCATGTTTTGTCTTATGTATTGACCAGCCACACCTGCCTGACATCAGGAATGGTATGCATGTTATTTAATTTAATAATTTAATCCCAGGAATGACATGCATGTTATTTTAAATTTTATCTTCACAATATTCCTAAGGGAATGTCGTTATCTTTCATTTTACAGAAATGAAAATGAAAGTTGAAAGAGAAAGGCTGAGAAACTGGACAGGATCACCAAGATCATGGGCGGAGGAATTAGGATTAAAATGAGCTCTTTCCATGGCTCGGGATCACTAGCTAGCTGTGTTCCCCACTGTAGGCAGCCTTACAAGTGTCAGATTAGCCTGGAACTGCCAGGATTTTGATGGGCTAGGGCTTGAGATACTTTCTAATTGACCGTCTATCATTTCTCAAAATATATAGTATAAATCTATAGTTTATAACACATAAATTAATTTATAATTAGATATAAACTACATACTTATATAGACATACATATAAATGAAGTATTAGTATAAGTACCATTAAATTTATATTAGAAAGTTCTCAAATAATTATTAATTATTAAATTAATATTCAGCTTAAAGTCCTAAAGTAGTAAATATAATAGCCATAACAAAAGATTTTTGTAAGCCTTGCTAATTTTTAGGAGTGAGAAAGGGACTTGAAATTTAAGCATTTGAGAATGACTGTTCTGAGCTCTTCTCTAACTGGACTGGTAAGTATTTGAAGGAAAAGTTTTAGCCAGGACATTAACATTTTAGTTTCCTTATTCTTCCATTCCCTCAGTGTCTTGTGTTTTTCCTATCAGATTTTTTGCATTGTGAAATAGTCCCATCAGGCATATGTCCTTGAGAGGAGATCTTTTGCTTGGTTGAACCCTGTTTATATTCACTCCGGGTGTCCTGTGTTTAAACAAGTGCTCAGTAAGTGTGTGTAATGCTAATACACAGCATACAAATGGGCCAGGAGTACAATAACGTCTTAAGAAATGTAGCAAAATGTGTGCATCCATTTACGAAATAGTCATTGATTAAGTCTATAATTTAATATATGTTTGCATGATGTGCCTTACAGTTGCCTTCATTGTAGGCCTAGACTGAGAAGGCATGAAAATGTATATTCTCAAAACGACAAACCCTTATCTTTCGAGGGTAGTTTTGACTTTTTGAAACAGTTTGAAGTCATTGGACAAAAAGCTAATTCCAAATGTTTTGCAATATTTTGTTTCTTTTGTAATACTTTCTATGTATTAAGTTCCTATTATGTGCTTTACTGCTATGATTTTAGTGAGCTTACCCAATGTATTTTCAGGGTGTATCAGAACGTGAAATGCAGTAAGTTTTGATTCAGTCGTTCAGGTATTCACAGGCTCATTTGTGGCCTAAAACAGTATCTGTTAATATTAGTACCTACCTCCAAAAACTGAAAGAACCCCACACTGGCATGGTAGAAGATGGAAATAAAAGAAAATTCAGCAGTCAGCTCCCGTTCCTTACACTTGTCCCAACAACTACTTTCACTATTATTTGTGTGGCTTGCTGTAGAGTTTTTCTCGCTCCAGTTTCTTTACAGATTTTGGACTTGCCATTTTACTCTGTTTTTATCCACCAGGTTATCCAGAGCTGGAAGAGTATAACATGAAGCACATTTAGCCATCCTAAAATATTCACTGTATATATGTTTTGTATATGCATGTATTTGTATATATCATGAACACACGATATAGGCATTGGAGAATTTTAACTGTGTCATCAATTTATTGCTGGCTCTCTTGAGGCCATGAATATTGAGTGGGAAGACAACATCCTTAATTTGAACTTCCCCTTGGAGTTCATATTAGTAGATTTTTTTTGTTGTCCATAGATTGTTTTCAATCTTATAAACTTCATGGAACACTTACTAAGTTGCAAGTTGCTTCAAAGTTGGTTGTTTAAAGTTTTGTGTTTTCCAATGTTCAGAATGACCTCTGAACAGTCTGATTCCATGTCTTTAGAACAAGCTGCTAACCAACTATCAACATTTATTTTTGAAAAAGGAAGAAACATGACCGACATATAGGTACTGTATGTAGTGAGCTCATGCATGGGTCAAAGTATGAGTGAGCAAGCTGGATGACAAAATTAGCTGAAAGGAGGATATAAAGGAAAATAAAGCTAAGCATTTAGTTGGGGAAAGAAAGAGTGCTAGAAGAAGACTGAAAAATCAGACACACAAAGTTGGTTAATATCTTCTAAGCAATATAATTCTAACTTTTAGGATCATTATTTTTTACTGGAAAAAATTCATTTGCATCTCCACTGGACAAAACTGTATTGATAATCTATAATCGAATCTCAAATTTTATGTAATCTTCAACCAATCAAAAGTAAATATTAAGTCAAAGTCACTGTCATTAAAACCTGTGCTGTTTGTCTCATACAGTAACTCCTAGCCATACCTGATCAATGAGTACTTGGAATGTGGCTAGTCTTAATTGAAATATTCTGCAAGTATAAAATACACAAGATGTTGAAGATTTACAATGTAAAAATAATATAGACTGTATCATTTTTAAAAAGAATGGTAATATGTTGAAGTGATACTATTTTGGATATACTGAGTTAAAGTAAAATCCATTCATTATTAAAATTAATGTCACCTTTATTTTTCAGTGTGACTACTAAAACATTAACATTTATGTATGTGACTCATATTTTGTTTTGTTTTGTTTTCTAACATTGCCTTGGAGCATCAGATGACTCAGATGTGGGCTTTTTTAGGCAATTTTCTAATATAGCTTGGAAGAATGGGAAGACATATTTTTGCTTTGTCAGTTTTGTGTAACTTTTCTCAACACAGGTTACAAGGAATATGGAGAAGGATTTCTTATTTCTCTGCCTTCTCCCTTCAACTGCTTGGCCAGGAGGTTGGGATGGCGATTCTGGCTGGCTGGCTGGTTATTTTAATGCCTTGAGGTCTGGATTTGAGATTTGCATGTGATGAGATGTGATTTGATTGATTCGACATAGACATGACTAATCATATTAGATAACTGAATTACAGAAATTAAATATACATGCCAATGATTTAAAAATAAAGAAGGAAATTTATAGTGACGTGAGGTCCAGTGACCTGGTAATCAAAACTTCACACAGCTATTTTCCTGGTCGATACCAACCCTTAGTAGAGTTTCAGATGAGAATGGGCACATTGCACATGAAATCAGAGCAAAGTGACATGTTAATTGTTTTACTAAAGCTATTATTACACTACAAGTACATTAGTTGTTTATACACTTTCAATATTTTCTTAGAATTCTCATATCCAAATTCACACAGAAGGATGGCCTGTGTAAAGTGGTTTTCTACTGCTAATTCATCCATCACTAATCTCATTAGGCTGTTAATTCCTAAAGGATAGGAGCAGCAATAGACACAGTTTCCAAATGCTAAACAAATGTTATTCAATGAAATCATGGGTCCATCCTTAGTTTAAAAGAATAGGCTTTGTTTTCCAAATATTCAATCTGTTGTTTACCTATTTTGACTTTACCATCATCTATGGCTAACATCTTTAACACACATTTTCATGTAGACATATATTTGAACAAGAATTTCTGGTAAGCTGTAACATTACCTAAATATAAATGCATAACTATATTTACTACATAAACAGAAAGCTGAACTTACCTTTTCTCTCAAAGAAAAATGCAACTACTTGGCGTCAAAGAGTGAAATATGAAGAAGTAAACCTTACACTAGCAAAGCAAACTTTAGAATACAGAAGGCTAGTTTTAGAGGGGGTGAGAAGAGGTGAATATTGAGCTAGTCAAGAACAGATGGTATAATAACTTATATATCCTAGTATGTTTCCTAATTTACTGTTTACATTTTTTTTTATTTCAAATCTATGGTACATTTCATAAGTCAAAAGTGTGTTTCATTAAACTCCGCCACTTTATTTCCAGCTGGAACTTTGAGTTCATGGTTACACATAGTCCTTCCATGCCATCACTTGAGAGTGATATTACGGGAAGCAACCTGTACTTTTCATGGGCTGAAATTCATCTCTATATTGCAGCATACAAAAATTAAAAAAATAAATCCGTTTTCCTTGAAAATGGATCTCAATGTCCTTAACAGTCAACTCTATTGGGGGTTCTCTGCAGGCTTAAGGGGTCTCCTAGCCTTCCTTATTATCTCTTTTCTTCAGTGCCAGACCCCCTACCTTGTAAAACTCAGAGGGGAACCGGATAGCTGTTTAAATACAGCCCAATTTCTCGCCTTTAGAGAAGTGAAAAGGGTGCCCCGCCCCCACCTGTGAAAAGAAGGATTTGGTAGTTTCAGTGTCTTTAAATGAAAGATTTAAGTTCCTAACCTTCCACCACCCAAGACCCCCCAAAGGCTTCTGAACCCCCTCTCATCCTGCCCTAACTGCTTTGAACTGGCCCTGGAAATCCTTGTCCCAGTCCAGTTATTGTGGGTCGGTACTCAGAATTCACCAAGGACCTGTGTTACTTCCCTTACGAAGAAACAGAATTATTGTGAAAATCTACGTAGAAACCATTTCGTTTTTGTTCCCCAAATAAGGGACGCATGTGTCCAACCATCCCTAAGAAAAAGAACTTTCAGGGGTAAAGGAGCGACCAGGTAATTTAGAAGAAAAACAGAAAGTGGTCTCTGACTGCCCTGATCTTCCTCTGGAGTTGGGGGAATTAGGGACGCCTACACGCGTTGTTTTGGGGGTCAAAGAAAAAATAAATGGAGAGTCCGAACCCTGAGGCCTCTCGGATCCTTTCCTGATCAAACACGGGTGATTTGGTGCATGGCATTTTAATATTTTCTCCTTTTTGTGAGGTGGAACAAACACAACTTGGGCGCAGCGCGGCGGCTCAGAGCCTGCCAGCCAGGCGGGCGACCGGAGCACCAATCAGCGCGCGCCTGCGCTCTATATATACAGCGGCCCTGCCCAAGCCTTGCTCCATCGGCGTTTTGCCACTTGTACCCGAGTCTGAGATCATCAACATGTCGGAGACCGCTCCAGCTGCTCCTGCTGCCGCACCCCCGGCGGAGAAAACTCCAGTGAAGAAAAAGGCTGCCAAAAAGCCTGCTGGAGCGCGCCGTAAGACGTCTGGACCTCCTGTGTCCGAGCTCATCACCAAGGCTGTGGCTGCTTCTAAGGAGCGCAGCGGGGTGTCCCTGGCTGCGCTCAAGAAGGCGCTGGCAGCAGCGGGCTACGATGTGGAGAAAAACAACAGCCGCATCAAGCTTGGCCTCAAGAGTTTGGTGAGCAAAGGCACCCTGGTGCAGACCAAGGGCACTGGCGCCTCCGGCTCCTTCAAACTCAACAAGAAGGCGGCCTCTGGGGAAGCCAAGCCCAAAGCCAAGAAAACGGGTGTGGCCAAGCCCAAGAAGCCAGCAGGCGCGGCCAAGAAGCCTAAGAAGGCGACTGGCGCTGCTACGCCTAAGAAGAGCGCCAAGAAGACCCCGAAGAAGGCGAAGAAACCGGCGGCGGCTGCTGTAACCAAGAAAGTGGCCAAGAGTCCCAAGAAGGCTAAGGTTGCCAAGCCCAAGAAGGTCAAGAGCGCATCTAAGGCTGTTAAGCCTAAAGCTGCCAAGCCCAAGGTTGCTAAGCCCAAGAAAGCTGCAGCCAAGAAGAAGTAAGCTGTTCTTGCTTCTCTAACCCAAAAGGCTCTTTTCAGAGCCACCACTAAACTCAAAAAATGAGCTGTGACCTTGCACTTGCACTATCTGTCTACACATTTTTGGGGGAGGGGACTTTTGAGAGACTGGAGTGTTACGGTTGCTTTTGATGTTACTCGGCACCGCGTTAAAGGGGGTTGCTGTGTTCTGACCTCCCTCTTGGGATTGCGGGTGGCTTCTTTCCGTGGTGCCATTGGGTTGGTCAGGCTGGCTGGTGTCCTTCTGCTAGCCGCCACCCCTTACCCGTATTTGTGAGCACAAACAACCACAATGGAAGCAAGCCAATTTTTAAGTCTTAAGGCTTGGGCTGAAAGGGAGTTCGAAAGTTCCGCCCTGCCTTCCGGTTGGTCCACTGCTTCCGCCCATGACTTAGATTCTGTCTTTAACTGCAGAGTAGTAACCTAAGTTGCATTTCCCTGTTTTTCTTCGGTAGGGTTGAAAGTGCCGTTTTCCCTCAGTGGGGAGATGTGTGGCGTTTCGGGTTCTTTGCTTGTGGATAGACCTTGTTTGTCCCGAAGTTGGTGGGCGATGGAGGTGTGAGGAGGTAGTAACATTGAGTGCTGGGCTATTGCCGGTGCTTGTTTTGCGTTCCTTGTTGCATTTAAACAGCAATAGCTGCGGAAAGGACCCTTCTGCCTAGGACAGTTCTGGTCCAGGGGTAGTTTTCTCCTGTCCTGCAGCTGGTCTGCAAGGGTACGATGAATTGGAGTGCGTCAAAAACAACTTTCGGTCAGCCATTTTGTTTTGCCGTGACGATCACCGATCCTCGCTTATAGATAGATTCCAACTTCTAAGAAGAGAAGTTTTAGTTTTTTTCCCCTTTGGTGCATTACAAATGTTTCTATGCAGAAAATAGTTGGTTAGCTATTGAAAGTGTGGCTGAGAAGCATGTTTCTCCTAATAAAATAACTTAGTTTTCGTCGACTTTCTTTTTTTTTTTTTTTTCAATTCCTGTTCTTGTTTTTGATTCTGTTGGAACACAGGTTTTGGTGAAACACAAGTTACAGGGTCCGGAGCTTCTGGAGACTTGTAATTGAGTAATTTCGTTTCCATAAGAATGAATCTAGTGCGAGTTAATTACTCCAGGGAAGCAGCAAAGAGAATTCTTCCATGGTTTCAGTAATTTTTAGTTTTCAATTTTACATTAACATTTTGATACAAGGTTTAACATGTAGACCCATTTGCCCCCTCCCCCAAGACTATGAACCCTGTTCTGTTAGGTAGCAATTAGCCATGAGCAAAAGGGGACAAGCAAAGTAAACTTAAAATGGAGGATTCTTCGAGGTCTCAGAAAAATACTTGACAGCCCTTTTTAGGATCAAAATAGCCCACCAAGGTCAATGGAATGTTTTTGAGTCACCCACCCTAAAGTGGGTCGGCATCAGTTCTGGGAAACAATAGATCTTTTAACAAAACAAAGATCCAAGTCAGTAAACCATATCCAAGGTGTCAGATGGATTCAGTCACGGTACATTATAATCTGTAGACCTTCCCTAGCCTCCCGACCTTAACGGTGACTTCAGCCTCCTAGGCTGATTTTAGGGAGGGAAACCTCTCCTACCTCAATAAAAACTGGTGCCAGAATAAAAATAATTGTCATTCTCCTTCTCTCTCCATAGATAACTCAGTTTCGATCTACCGAAAGTGTGTTCCTTTCCTTCCTAACAAACTTCACTATCTTTTTCACATCTTGCCTGAATTATTCTCTCACAAGACCCTGATGTAGATCACTATGCTGACTTTATGGTAAAGTTTTTAGATGACTTTCTGATACCAATTTCTACTTTTCCCTCTTCCTAATTTTGATTTCATCTTTAACATGGGCTAAATTCCATGGACAGGTAGACTAAATTCCGTTTCTGTTTTTTTTATTTTTATTTTTTCCCTTTCTGGTAATTTCCTAAGGTAGTTATTTTGTTTTAAATACTGTTCATACTGCTGTTTTCAGCGTCCAAAGGAATACCTGATATAACAGGTACTAAAGTAAGTGTTTAATAAAAGGAGGTGTTAGAACATGACTAATAGCTGACAGAAGCTAGTTACCCCTGGTAATTTTTTTTTTTCAGAATTCTCCTTACTTTTGTTTTTCTATGTGTGGCTTAAAATGGCCTCCAGCGCCACCATCCTACCCCCATCACTCATAAACCTACTGGCAGTTTTATTGGGATTGTGTTATACTTAAAAACTACCTTGAGATAGCTGAGTTTTCTTATGCAAGAAATTTCATATTTTTGTTTATGTATTTTTACCTGCTGTCCAGTGAATTTTAAATTTTCAAATTTATCCTTCTTTCCTAGATATCTCCTTTATTGCTGTTGGAAATGGCCCCTCTGAGATTTTAGATTCCTTGAGGCCTGCCGCATAATGTGGACACTGAAGACTCTCAGATTTTTATTCATTTATTTATTTATTATTTATTTGAGATGGGCTCACTATGTATCCTAGGCTGGTTTTGAACTCACTGTGTAACCCAGGCAGATCCTCCTGCCTTTGCCTCCCAAGTAAGTGCTGGGATTACATGCATGTTTCACTTGGCAGGCCTCCTCAATTATTGAAGAGGTCTTTGACTTAGCGTTTGTGGCTCAATAACTGTAATCCTAGCTCCTTGGAAGACTGAGATCAGAGGATCTTGGTTTGAGGCCAGCCCAGGCAAATAGTCCATCTCCAAAATAACCAGAGCAAATTGAACTGGAAGTGTGGCTAGATTGGAAGGAGGCCGGTTTTGCAAGTGTGAAGCCCTGATTTCAAAACTCTCCTGCCAAAACAACAGCAATAAAAGATATCTGTATATGTGGAATAACAATTGAAGAACAGAGCTGTCCATTGCTCTATAAGGTGAGCACAAATACAAGTAATATATGTAAACCTAGAAGCAACCTAAACAAGGAAAAACATTTTTATAATCACTTTATATTGAATGATAATATTTTGGATATGCTGGGTTTAAATAAAGCATGCAATTACATTGATTTCACCTCTTTCTTTTATCCTGGGTAAGGGGAAAACAATTCTTTCTGTAACTGTTGATTTTCAATTGCCTTCCGCTCAAAATAGTTCTTTTATCAATGTGGCATATTGAATAACATTCTGATCTTCAAAACCTATATTTGTCACTAATTTTATCAGTTTTTGTGTGTGTGTGTGTGTGGTAAGTGGGGTTTTATCTCACAGCCTATACCTTGAGCCACTCTACCAGCCAGCCCTATTTTTGTGATGGGTATTTTCGAGATAGGGTCTTTCGAACTACTTCTCCATGCTGGTTTGGAACCATAATCCTCCTAATCTCTGCCTCCCGAGTAGTTAAGATTTACAGCCTGAGCCACTGGCAGGCACCCAGCACTTTTATCTATTTGGTACCATTTTAAAATTTTTAGCCACTGCTGTAAATTAATATTGACAAGTACTAATAGTTTATTCAATAATTCCTGAAACACTGCTGATCAGCCAAAACTATCAATGAATGAATATTCATGAAATAAACTGCTGACTAACCATAAGCATTCAAGAATTTTTCCATGTATGTTAGAAATGTGAATAGCACAGAAATTAAGGAATACTTATAATTCATTATTCCAAACTATCATGCACAGTGAGCGCATGAGGCACAGCTTGTGGGCCATCTAGCTAAGGGAAATATAGAAGGTGCATTTGTGTTTGACCCTACACAAACAGGACTACATAATTTCAGGATTTCCAAAGGGAACAGATTAAGGGCACAGTGGCAATACCACCACTGACAGCTTTCTTGAGCACTTATTTCAGCAGGCCACTGACTTTTGCTGATTACTCTACAAGTTTATTTATTTATTTATTTAGTTTTGCAGTAGTGGGGTTTGAACCGAGGGCCTGCTCTTGCTAGTAACACTCTCTACAACTTGAGTCATGCTTTCTCATCCCTCTCCATTTCCCAACATATTATTGTCACAACACTTTGAAGTATGTGCCATTATTACTTTCATTTTAGAGATGAAGAACTGAGGCTTGGCAACATTAAGGTTATAGCTAACCTTAGCTTTCTGACCTGTGAGTTAGTGTAATTACTTTTACATACTAATGACATTTCTCAAAAATAAATAAATCTTAGCAACCAGGCGCTGGTGAATCATGCCTATAAATCTAGCTACTTGGGAGACAGATCTGGAGGCCAGCCCTGGCAATTAGTTCATGGGACTCCCAACTTCCAAAAAACCAGCCCCAAATGGACTGGAGGTATGGTTTTAGTGGCAGACTACCACCTTTTCAAGCTTGAAGCCCCAGTCTAACCAAAAAAAAAAAAAGTTATAGATTTAATTTTAATTTTTTATGGTACTTTCTATACATTTATGAATATGAAACACTGAAATCTGTCAGTCATTTCAAGAAGGGAAGAATGAGAGAAGAGCAACATCTACCCTGAGATGGCCTTATTTCTGAAACAGAATTTCCTTTGAGGAGAAAGCTGTATTTGATAATCCAGATCAAGGTAAATTTATTGATGAGAATATACTAATAGTATATTAGTATATACTAGTATATACAATGATATTTGCTGCTACTGCAAAATTTGGCACACTTTTTGAAACCTCTTAAGCCACTGAAGTGGCAGAACTTGTCTTAAAATGTAGTTAGGAATTATTTATCATAATTCAGGACAATAATTTCTTGTAGTGCTTGAACCATGGAAAACTGTTATTTTTTAGCTATAAGTTGAACATTGAATCCAATTTGAATCTAGTGAATAATTGTTTTATTGTCACTTTCTTCCTTGAGAACTTCTGAAGGCAGATGATATTCTGCAAAAACCAAAGTTGTACCAGGAAATTCAATTGAGCACTTAAAGTATTCAAATTGCTTAAAGTTGAGAGTTGAGTTTATATCCTCCGCATCCAGCTTTCTCCTCCTGGTATCTCTTTCAGAATGATACCACCTTCCAAACCTCATAAACACTGGTCTTTCTGAGGCCTGAGAGTCTTCCCAGAACCAATGATTCTCAACTCACCAGGTACTTTTGCAGAGGTGCATGGGAAGGCCATGTATAATATGAAAAAAAAGAGGTTGCTCAGTGGCAAATTTATCCTACTTTTGTATTGGTAATTGTGTATTATTGTAGTTTTTGAGTCTGAATTGAAAAAACTTTAGGTCTCAAAAACTTTTGATCTACTCCATCAGTATAATGTACACTTTTGGAAAAAAAAATTTAAAGCACTTAAATAGGTGTGATTTTTTATACTTATAACTAGAGGTATAAAGAGGGCATCGGTGAAAGAAGTTGTTTGACTGTTATCCTGGATTATCTCCAGTCCCACTAATTCTAATATGCTTGAGTGAAATGTGGATAGTGATAGCTATATTGTATCTTTCTTGTCACAGAATTATATTCCATGGACTTCTGGTAGAGTCCACTGTCCTCTGGATAGTTCAACTAACACTTTAATTAGGCCAATATTGAATACTTCTCAGAAGTGTTTGGAGTGTTGAGAACTTTCTACATAATGGCTTATAAAAATGCTATGATGGCTTTACTTATACTGTTAGAAATATGTATTCTTATTTTAAATTGGTGTCTGGCCTCGGGGGGGGGTTTCCACAAATTATTAAAAGTATTTAATTATTTGTATTGTTAAATGAGGGGCTCAAGGGGTGTCCAAATCAATTGAAAGCGCCACCACAAAGACCACCACTAAAACAAAAACAAAACACTGTTCTCTTATCAAGAAAACTACCTAGAATGAACGGGATTTTCACTTCAGAGCAATCTTACTTGGCTGTAATTAGGTATAAGAGCATGCGTATGGCTAAAAAAACTGAAAAAGTACAAGTACAAAGAGACACAACAGCGCCTTGCAAAACCACCTGCAACTTAGCAAATTCCACTTTAACCTAAATTCTCATTGGAAAATGCTTGGAAATAAGCGCAATGGTATTGCAATAAAATGTAAAAGGAAAAAAAGTCGACTTCATGCACTAGATAGCAGTTACAACGGAAATACTGCAGCTGCTTTCAAGTGAAGTTGTGGGTGGCTCTTAAAAGAGCCTTTATCAGTTGGGAGTTGGATAGATTTATGCCCTTTCTCCACGAATCCGACGGGCCAGCTGGATGTCCTTGGGCATGATGGTCACTCGCTTGGCGTGGATGGCGCACAGGTTGGTGTCCTCAAACAGGCCCACCAGGTAGGCCTCGCTGGCCTCCTGCAGCGCCATGACGGCCGAGCTCTGGAAGCGCAGGTCGGTCTTGAAGTCCTGCGCGATCTCGCGCACGAGGCGCTGGAACGGCAGTTTGCGGATCAGCAGCTCGGTGGACTTCTGGTAGCGGCGGATCTCGCGCAGCGCCACGGTGCCGGGCCGGTAGCGGTGAGGCTTCTTCACGCCGCCGGTGGCCGGCGCGCTCTTGCGGGCGGCCTTGGTGGCCAGCTGCTTGCGCGGCGCCTTGCCGCCGGTGGACTTGCGAGCCGTCTGCTTGGTACGAGCCATTTGGAACAACAGAAAACACAGGGGCTCTCAATAGTAAGCTGACCTAAAGGTGCCCTTAAATATAGTTAGAAGCATTGTGATTGGCCTTGGAATATTTCAAAAAGTCCCGCGCGACAATATCATTGGCTGAAGAATGACCTTTGTGATTGGTTAACTAGAAGAGTATCTACAGAACAAAGTTTTGCCTTATCCTCTATCCTTTTGGTCTCAGCGGTCTGGAGATAAATTTTCTGATCCAGTTCATCCTGTCACTAAATACGGTGGTGAGTAACGAATTATTTAAGGATCATATTAAGGTGTAAATTATTATTCATTAAGTCTGAGTATGACCTGAGATTCTGAGTTTTTGTTTTCTTCTTGACTACTTGAAACAAGGTCTTTGCTATGTATCCCAGGCTGGACTATCCCCATCCCCTTTCTTCTACCTCTCCAATATTAGGATTACAGCTGTATACAACCACACCCGGTAAAACTGAATATTTAAACACATTCTCAATTCATCTATGCTATTGGATAACTTGGAGCACAACAAACTTAACCCAAGATGCTATTTTAAATTTATTTAGAAAAGCCTGGACTGCTTTATTAGCCAACGACAAACTGTCGTGCCCTTTATTCACAATCCCATCTGCCTTTTTCAAAATGCCTTATGCTTTTGGGGTTAACTTCACATGCTATACCTTAAAATACTCCCTGTAGCTAACTTCTGGAGCTTAGTACTTTTAAATAACTTTTAACATTCAAGGTACATTAAAAATGGGGCCGGCGCCGACTTGCTCAGAATAGTTACCCTTCTGGAGCAGGCGATGCAGAGAACACTTGCCCACAAGAAATTAAGTGCAAGCACGCTTGAGAGAAATGAGGGCGTCAGGTCTAGTTTTATCTCCGTTTGCCACTTCCAGACATGACGACCTAAGATGAGGGTTCAAAACAAAACAAAAGCAAGCGCAGTGCAAATAGAAAAAAGATAACCTCGCACTGTGCCAAATTCTATGGGCTGTAATACTGGAACAGGAAGTTATCTGTCAAAATATGCTAGCTTCTTTGTCCAATAGAAAAGCAAAGCGTAATACCTTATGTGCATATCCCCTGTGGTTTCGATTCATCCAATCAGAAGTTCCAAGTCTTAAACCTTCATTTAAATTAAAAGACTATAAATAAGCGGGTTTAGCTTGTTTCCCTTTTTACTGTTTGTTGTGGTACTACTAATACCAGCTTTATAGCTATTATTTTAGCAATGCCAGAGCCCTCCAAGTCTGCTCCTGCTCCTAAGAAAGGGTCTAAGAAGGCCATCACAAAGGCGCAGAAAAAGGACGGCAAGAAGCGCAAGCGAAGCCGAAAAGAAAGCTATTCCATCTATGTATACAAGGTGCTGAAACAGGTCCACCCGGACACCGGCATCTCGTCCAAGGCCATGGGCATCATGAACTCGTTCGTCAACGACATCTTCGAGCGCATCGCGGGGGAGGCGTCTCGCCTGGCGCATTACAACAAGCGCTCGACCATCACGTCCCGGGAGATCCAGACGGCCGTGCGCCTGCTGCTGCCCGGGGAGCTGGCCAAGCACGCCGTGTCCGAGGGGACCAAGGCCGTCACCAAGTACACTAGCTCCAAGTAAGTGCCTAGTAAGGCACCTTTTAATACAAAGGCTCTTTTCAGAGCCACTCACTTTGTCAAGAGAGAGCTGTTAACTCATTTGTGGTCTCATTGCTTGGTTTAGCTTTTAATTGGTATTTGGAGCAGGTTCAGATGTCTTTGTCTTTAGCATCTCACCTAAGGTCCAAAAGCACATTTGTTGTAAAACCATTTTTTCTTGAATATACCTTAGGGTGCTTTTTGAATAAGTGACAAGCACTTTCTGATGGATGAGTGTAATTTCCTTACAGACAATGGTTGGAGGATTACATGGGAGAGGAGTCACTGGCCCTATTTCACAAGCATGGAAAGTGAGTTGCAGAGGGCAGGAATGTGACGATTTTTATTCCTTGGAGCTTGAAGTACTATGCGAATTCTTTACGCTTTATTGTTGAGGTTCTCTTGGGCACCTCGATGAAGTATACCTGCAGCTCTTAGAACAAGTAAATGCCTGTAATTTTATTGATAACCTAAATGCTTTTCGAATTTTTCTTGCATCCCAGAAATCATAAGCTATACAACTACTATAATTCGTTTTCAAACTTTTCTTGCATCCCAGAAATTATGGGCTATTTATGTCAGGGTTTAGGGTAGAATAGGTCGTTGATGTTGGCTAGAGCTCCAAGAGGGACAATGGGTTTGAATTTCGCGCCCTTATCTGGCGCCACTGTTGTAACTAACAAGGAGGGCCTCTGCTGGAGAAGACTAGAGGTTTTCCTCTGTAGGCTTTTATTTTTTCGGAGGTGGAGGTGGAAAGAATCTGGGACTCCAGCAATTATTGCTAGAAATAAGTAAAGGCCTTGCTTGAGAAAGGAGCAAATAGAGCAATGGCTGGGTCCTGGGTTGGGGGAGGGGACGAACAGCGCGCGGAGTAAAGGGGTTGGGGGTGGGTGGGGAGGCTGCATAGCCCTTGACTTCATATTGAAAAGAAAAAAAAAAGTGTTTCCCATCAGCTTGTGAGCACCACATAGTGACATTCAGCAATGCCTTTAGAAGAAAAAAATGCAATTTAAAGTAATTTCTCAAACAGGAACTCTTAAAAGATTTTTAAAAATTGTCTTCTGGATCCCATACAAGAAAGTGCACCACTGTATGAGGAACACTTTCCTATCACTGTCGGCAAAGTACTGAAAGTACTGTGGTGAAAGAGACAGCCTCCTTTCTTTTACTTCCAGGTTGCAATTCGACACATTCAACACCCAAATTAACACAGGCAACAGAAACGATTAGAGTCCTGCCCTGGTGGTAATTAATAGTCCTTAACGTTCTCAAAGTGATCTCTCAAAGTGAATTACTTTCTCCCATCTTGTCTTTCATCACTTTGGTTTGCCTGCTTCCTTCCCTCTCTAACTTTTTTTTTTTAAATAGGAAATCCAGAGTACTTAATGTTTTACCTAAAATTACCTAATTGAAAGGAAGATTGATAGATAATGGGTGAAAAAGAAAGGCCCACAAAGAAATAGGTGATAGAAGATCCAGGCAGTGTTCATGTTTTTTGGGAAAAAAGTACATAGAAGATAAGGAATCCCCAGGCCGGTCTCATGGCAGGTGGGGGAGGGACAGAGACTTTTCAGTTCTGTTCAGCATCTCTCAGCAATTTTTAATTTTTTTTGCATGTTTTCATTTCCATTAAATAATGTATGTGCTTAAGTAACGTGTTTTTGGGGGAGTTTTTTGTTTTGTTTTTTTATTTCCTAGAAAAACAATACATGCCCATTACTTAAAAACGATAATAACCAAACTGGGTGTGGTGATACAGACCTGTAATCCCAGGATTCAGGAATCTGAGGCTAGTGTGAAAAAGACAGAAAGAATAACACCCACTACAAATAATTTCAATAAAATATATTGAAGGCTAACAGGACATGCTACCCAAAATATGACACCTTGACAACGGAGAAAACAGCAGAAGCAGGAAAGTCATTCTCACCTTCCACTAGCCCCTTTGACCCTGAAGCAGGTGATAAAAATAGCAAAGAATTCTGACCTTCTCCTGTCTTAAGACCTTATATTTTCTCTGAAGGCAAAGGAACACGAAGAATCTATCTTACTAAAATCCCCAGTGTGAACAGTCACAAGTATTCACTTCTTCACCAAATTTATCACAAAAATATATGGACTCCTTGCTTTAGATATATGGACTTCTTTTTCACATAAAACGTTAAATAAATTTATGTACTTTTCTCATTTATCTGTTATTATAGGGACTCCAGCAACGAACCTATTGATGGGTGAGGAAAAAACAAATCTTTCACCCTTACTATATAATAATCAAATCTAACTTCATTGCCTGGATCATTCTGGTTACCCTTCTTTCTGAAATTTTATCTTATAAATGTCTACACACATATACATGAATATTATATGCAAAAATCATACTTTTGCTTTCCTATTTTTAAAAAAAAATTTAAAAATTATGAGGTTCTAATGACTTTTCATAACTGCATTTCATTATACAGAGGTAGGTGATTTTCTCTTTTATTTTTTTCTTGGTACTGGGGTTTAAACTCAGGGCCTACACCTTGAGGCACTCCACCAGCCCTTTTTCCAGATGCGGGCTCTCAAACTATTTGCCTGGGCTGGTTTCAAATCTCAATCCTCCTCTTTTCTGTCTCCTGAGTAGCTAAAATTACAGGTGTGAGCCACTGGTGCCAGTAGTGATTTTCCTTTATTGATTAGCTTTTTTTTTTTTTAATATTTATTAAAATACATTTTGATGTTGCTCTACTCATTTATGAGATTGCTTCAAGAGATGTATCAGAAGTAGTATTTATGGATCCAATGTTATACATACAAAGATATCCCCAAGTTGTAGTCCTGAACAGCTGTTTATACTCTCAGTAACTGTTATTTTGCTGACATCCAAAAATATAGCAAGTGTCATTAGTTTTTTATATATTTTCAAGTTGGAGGCATGAACGTTAAGTTTCATTGTTTTTATTTTGAGATTATCATTTTGAAGGCATACATTTTGATAACAGCGTTTCTTCTATTGTGATTTGATTACTCATGCCTCTTGTCCACTTTTCTTTTGGGATGGTGTTCTACTTACAATCTTAAATGGACGATTTCCATGTATGAATAGGTTATTATAATTAAGGGCATATTATATATGTTCATTATAGTTCTAATTTTTTAACAAGTGTAAACTCATTTAGTCTTCACAGAAACTCAGTAAGGTATTAGTATTATTGGATTCATTTCTGTTTTACAGATGGAAATGAATGATATAACCACTTGAAGTTATATATACTTGCTAATTTTTTGCTTAATTTTTCTAGGAACTGGTGAGAGGAAGATTGAACTCAATAATTATGTATTTTTCTATTTCTTCTTTCATTTCCATCAGTTTTTGCTACACATCTTCTTCAGTTCTGTTAATTTGGTGCATACAAATTTAGAATTTCTTGTTTTTCTTGTTGGATTGACTTTTATCATTATGTGATATCCCTCTCTGTCCCTGGTCATTCTCCTTTTGTATCTTTTAATTTTAGCTTGTATTTATAATTATATATGAAGCAGGATTCTTGTAGACAGGTTGAGAATGCATTTTTATCCATTTGGCCAACTGTTTTTTAATTCCTATGTTTAGACCATATTCACTTAGTGCAACTACTGATAACCACAGGGGTTCGGGTGTGAATGGGAGCATAATATGCCACTTTAAGCATGAGAAATATTTTTGAGTTAAAGGCAATTAAATAGAAATAGATACAGTACAGGAAAAGCTCTCTGCTCTCCCTGCTGTTTGTGTAAATGCAGAAATTTTATGAAAATTTTCATAATTTTATGAAAATGTTCCTCCCTTCTCTACCAGGAAGGGCAAATGAAGTTAATCACTGGGAAGATTTAGATTCAGTCTGGAGAAGGAAGAGAGAAATTATACATAACACCCTTTACTAACTAGCTTTTATGTACTATTAGTTTCTCATACATTTGCCTTCCCACAACTTGCAAGGCATAGGGACTTATGATCCTTTTGTTTTGTCAATTTAGTTTGTGCAATTCACTGTAAAAATTTTCAAGTTCATTATCTTCTTTGGGTCTTTATTTCCTTATGAGGGCTTCTATGTTACCTATAGAAATTTAAATAAATGGATGTTCTTTCTCTTTAATGTTAATCTATTGTGACATAGTGCATCCAAGAACATAGAATGAGTAGAAAATTCTTTCCTCCCCTACATGATAATGACCTCTATGCTGATAATTCTTTTTCTGAAAATATATCCCATTGTTTTTATGTGGTTTGTATTTTAAAAAGTCAAACCCAAAACAAAAACATATTTCTTTCATTGTTTATGAAAGCAGGGATCAAATTCTTGCCTTTACTGCTCATAGGGTTCGAATTTTTTTTTGTTACTTTTCCTGTCATATTTGTAATGGAAACTAATAACCCTCATTATCTTCCTTCTGACATCTGCCTTCTATATCCCTTTTAAAGGTAAGTGTCTACAATTTACTGATCTTGAAGCACTTATTGATAGGATTTCAAGTTATTTTACAAATAGAAGATGCAAAATACTTGTTTATTTGCTTGACTCAAAGTCATGTGGATGAGTGACTTTTTTTTTTCACATCCATGACTTAATGGAATATAGATTTCTGATGTTGTGATTGTATGTATTCCTGCCTGTAGCCTGACTTTTTGAAACAACCTTTAATCTGGGCTTCCTATTAATCATGTACATATCTGAGATAGACTGTGTCACAGGGTATCACCAGTTCTCCTGGAAGCCTATTGTTCTTTGCCAAACTTACCTATATCTCTCCCACACTATCTTCTATAAAGAGTATATAAACAACTAAATCTCACTAGGATTTTGAGTATTTTCTTCCCTGTGATACCACCATACATGTAAACAAATTTGTGTACTTTTTCTTTTCCTGTTAATTTGCCTGCTGTCAAGGTATTTCATAGACTTATGAAACCTTCAGAGTGTAGCGGGAAACTGTTTCTTCCTTACAAAAACTATCAGCTTTATAAGCAAGAGTACAGCGCAGAATGATGGGGAATTTTCAGAAATTAGAACTAGAATCCTGTATTTTACCCAAGTGAGAAGAAAGCAAGCAAGGGTAGGAAGGTTAGAAATGGCATTGGTGAATGATGTGAAACACTTTTCTAGGCAAAAGGTGGGAGTCCTTTTTATCATTAACTCACTGTTGTTGCCTTGAGCAAAGTAAGTAACTCTCTGGGGCTGTCAGTTTTCCAATCTCGAAAATGAAGACAACATTCTTTCTATACCTTCTAGGTGACCCACAAAGCCATAAGGCTTAAGTGAACGAAATTGCTGTCCTAGATCAGGGGGCTGATTACCTAGGATTGTCCTCAGTATTCATTGTTCAGGCAGTTTAAGAAAATTTAGAACATGACAAAGAACCTTTTGCTCTCTTTGTCCTTCTTTTCCCTTATATGAGGTTTAATAAGCTAAAACAAGTGGGACATGGTGGGGAAATCTTGTAACCCTAGGTTCTGGAGGGTTAGGAGCAAGAATCTCGAGTTGGAGGCCAGAATCTGGCACATTAGTGCCTCTCAAAAGTTTTATAATCATAAATTGTTCTATTTTTATTCCTAAATCTATAAATCACAACCCCGGAAATATATCAGTGGCCAAAAAAAAAAACAGAACAATGAGGACAATCCCTCCTGCTCTACAGAATTTCGACAATATCAAATTATTCCAGTTTTTGGTATTCAAGTTAAGGCTGCAGAAGTTGCATTGCCGATTGCATAAAATATAATCCTGGAAGGAAGGGTCATATGCAAATAAAGGATGAAAATTCTTATCTGCCATTGGGTAATTGATATTAGCCAATGGGAGAACTCTACACAGGCTACCTCCAGTCAGTATAAATATTTCTCATTCCAGCTCTTTATGGTACTCTGCCTTCTTGTTCTTGTGGAGCTTGTTCGTTTGTTTGTAGCAGTCATGTCGGGTCGCGGAAAGCAGGGCGGCAAAGCTCGTGCGAAGGCCAAGACTCGATCTTCCCGTGCAGGTCTGCAGTTCCCTGTGGGCCGCGTCCACCGACTCCTACGTAAGGGTAACTATTCCGAAAGGGTGGGAGCTGGCGCCCCTGTATACCTGGCGGCCGTGCTTGAGTACTTAACTGCGGAGATCCTGGAACTGGCTGGGAATGCAGCTCGAGATAACAAGAAGACTCGCATCATCCCGCGCCACTTACAACTTGCCATCCGAAACGACGAGGAGCTCAATAAGCTTCTAGGTCGCGTGACCATCGCGCAGGGCGGTGTGCTGCCCAATATCCAAGCTGTACTGCTGCCTAAGAAGACTGAGAGCCACCATAAGGCTAAGGGCAAATAAAGTGATTCCACAGCAGCCTCTTCGGGCTAACAAAGGCTCTTTTCAGAGCCACCCACTATTTCAGTAAGTGAGCTGTCCTGCTTGCAATTAATCTGCTGTCCAAAGTTTGTTTTTAAAAAGTACTATAAAATCGTAGAGAAAGGGAAATAAGCCCATGCAGTGCATTGTAAACTTAGTGCATAAAAAATAACAATACTAGGGAATATCAAACCTGGCGTTGGTGTTAATTCTGTGTTCCCAGCACTGGGAGGGGATCATGAGTTCGAGGCCAGCCAACTAGCATCCCGTAAGCAAAATTATGCCGTACTAATTATCTTAGAAAATTACAGTAATTTTTCAGTTTGCCCATAGAACTTGACACGCCCAAGAAAAATACTTTTGCCTTAAATGAAACCCAGATACAGATTTCTGTAATTGACTCGATATATTTGATAGGTTGCTTAAAAAACAATCTATTGGGTGACTTCCGTGTTGCTTTATTGGTTACCATGTTTTAAATTTTGAGCGTTTAGATGTTCTGCACCAGATTTTTGTCCTCAACAGCTATAGATGGGAAAGGGTAAATAAAATGTGTAAGCAGCCATGGTGAAGAGCAGGGCATACAAACCTGAAAGCAGTTTTTCATCCGGGTCATCCTTCACAAAACTGGGCCAATCCGAGAAAAGCGCGCGTACTTTTAAATGTTATTCGGTCCAATCGCTGGTAGTCTGACTGTATAAAAGAAGGGCTGCTCTTCCCCTTAACAGAAGTCTCTCAAGACGTCTCTTGCGCTGTATTCATGGCTCGTACCAAGCAGACGGCTCGCAAGTCCACCGGCGGCAAGGCGCCGCGCAAGCAGCTGGCCACCAAGGCCGCCCGCAAGAGCGCGCCGGCCACCGGCGGCGTGAAGAAGCCCCACCGCTACCGGCCCGGCACCGTGGCGCTGCGCGAGATCCGCCGCTACCAGAAGTCCACCGAGCTGCTGATCCGCAAACTGCCGTTCCAGCGCCTCGTGCGCGAGATCGCGCAGGACTTCAAGACCGACCTGCGCTTCCAGAGCTCGGCCGTCATGGGCGCTGCAGGAGGCCAGCGAGGCCTACCTGGTGGGCCTGTTTGAGGACACCAACCTGTGCGCCATCCACGCCAAGCGAGTGACCATCATGCCCAAGGACATCCAGCTGGCCCGTCGGATTCGGGGGGAGAGGGCTTAAGTATAAGTGCAGATTCGATCAGCTTGATTAATTAAGTAACCCAAAGGCTCTTTTCAGAGCCACCCACTTTCTTCAGTAAAAGTATGTGACCTTTAAGATTGATAGCTATCCCGTTTTTCCAAGACAGACTAAGTGGACTAATGTCACAGTGTTATTAACTGTGGGCTCAGCTCTGCATACACCTTGAGCCATTGCATCAGCCCCTTTTTTCGAGATAGGTTTATGCGAGCTTTTTCTGAGTTGCCTCCTAACTGCGATCCTCCTGATGTCTGCCTCTAGAGTAGGGTTGCCGGCGTGACCGGCAGACTCAGCCTAGGCCTGTTTTTGATAAGAGCTAAACAAGTACTCAGGTGCTTGCTGTGTTAACCATCTGAAAGAGTTGGATGGCTTCCTCTGTACTTATTTCTCCCTATTTTAAGTAAGTTTGTTGATGAAAGTTCCTTTAGTGTTTTGTGTCTCCATTTATTCCTTTAGCACTATGCTTTGAGCCTGTAGAATCAATTCAAATGTATTTACAGATACTAGGCAATTTCACTTCTGCCTATACTATTTTCTAGAGGTTTAGAATTGAAAGTTGGTGAATCAGGATAGGGTCTATGTTTCAAGTAGTGATTGTGGTTTTTATTATATGCATTTTATACTATATTTCTGAAACTAAAAAACTAGTGTGCTAAATGGCAGCTGCAAATTTCAAAGACCTTCGAGTTTCTTTTTCCACAAATCCCTTATACTTAATATTCTTAACACATATAAGATGTGGCTTAATGGACTGCCAAAATTATTTGAACTCAGAAAAAGAAATTAAGTGGAGATGTCACTCAAGTGGTATAGTTCCTTCCTATACTTTGAACTGTGTAATTCCCTTGGATTTGTGCTCATGGTCTTAACACAATAACTTGGTTTGAAGGTATTTGCATTTTTTTTAAATTCTGGAAACTAATATGTGTGTGATTGGTGGTACACTTCATTTTCTAGATGATGTACAAGTAATTGTGTCAGGCATTTTGTATCAATAGAAGGTGCCTGACAGAGACATTGGTAAAATTGTCCTATACCAAGGTGACTGAAAGCTCAGCCCCAGCTGAAGACCAAATATTGCAATATTCTGGTTATACCTGAGATGGCTCTGATATACAGTTCTTGATTTTATATATTCTATTCATATGTAAAAAAAAAGTTTTTTTTGGTATAGGATCTGACAAGAATAACAATAAAAAACTAAAAGTGCCCATTACTGTCAAGTAGATGGGGATAGTGGCTTTGCATGGCTGTTCTCCCCCAAGCCCCTCACCTTTCCTACTCCAACCTGAGCAAAACATCCATTCTGCTTGCATACTTCCTTTACTTGAGGCTTTCAACAGAACTGCCCAGTACCTAGGGGGAGAAAAGGGAGAAGGAGGAGTAGAAATAATGGGGATTTTTCACTATGGGAATACCCAAAGCTGGTAGCACAAAGTAATTTGGGTGGTAGTTTGCTCAGTTTCAAATTCCAGCCACATTACATACTTTGGCACTTAGACAAATCATTTTTTCTATCATCTGAAAAAGGGGCATCAGTACCCACTTGATACGATTGTTACTAGTATACGAGAATTTTCTGACACAATTTTAATTTTTCTGAGAAGTGTATTATTTTTACTTATAGTCTAGGATTTTCATTTTTAAATAGCTCAAACTTTAGCTTCTAAAATTCCATTTTTCTTGTTGTTACCTTCATAGAAGTAAATTTTCACTATATATTTAAAAATCATAGAATGAGAGAAATTTATTTTTTATTTTAGCAAAACTGGGCATTGAACCCAGGACCTGGCACCTGGCAGACAATTGCTCTACTATTAGCTACTTCCTAGAAACTAAGGTTTATGAAAGATTTACTGAACATTTTGCATGAAAAGTATTTTCAACATTTTAATATTATTGCATTAAACATCTATTAGTTTGTAGTAGGGGAGCCATTGAGATAGGTTGGAAAGAAAAAGGGGTGTTTAGTTTTGACAGAAATGTCATACCAAAATTTGCCACTATTGCATAAGGATTATATTTCTCTAAAGGTGCTTCAAAAATGGCAGCTGCAAGGACATTCTAATATTCCCTTTTCTTCCTAAAAAACAAAATCATTCCCATGTGAAAGATGCACTCCCTATGGCAGGAGGAAATATTGTTCTTCAAGGAGTCGTAGAGATGATTCTATATGAACATAGAAGATAGTTTCATTTGGGAAATTTTGTAAAAATACACATTGCTAAAATAATTCTTATCTTTAGCCTCCCCACATAGTTTATTTTTCTGCAATTACCTCTCTGTTCAACTTAGGATAAAAACACTTAGGCTTTGCATTTCTTTGGGTTTTCATTTCCTTATGAGGGCTACCCTGCCCCATAAAAGTTAAAATATGCCAGGTTCCGGTGGCTCTAGAATATAAACCTGGCTACTCTGGAAGCAGACATTGGGAAGATCGTGGTTCTAAGCCAGCCTGGGCAAATAATTCTCAAGATCCTATCTCAACAAATCCATCACACAAAAAGGGGGCTGGTGGAGTGGTGCAAGATGTAGGCCCTGAGTTCGAACCCCGGTACCACACACACAAAAAAGTTCCATAAAATAAATTTGTATGCTTTTGTCCTGTTAATCTGTTTGATGCCAGATTTAGTCTCAGGCTCAGCTGACAATTGTAACAGGGTCAAGTCTTGCCTCCCTACGATTGTACAGGTTACATGCATATAACCTACACAGTGACATTATACCATAAACTGAAATTTACTCCTAATGTTGTTGGAGTCTAGAATCAGTTTTGATTAGTGAAAAGATCAAGATTTCCAGAGAAGTGGAAGAAATCAAGTTCAGAGTACATTGTTCAGTAAAGTAGAGCCAAACACAGTAGTATAAACCAGTATTCCAAACACTCCAGTTTGAGGCCAGATTATCCCAAGTTCAAGTCCACCTGTGCTTTTTTGGGGTGGGGTGGGGAGAAATGGCAGTAGACTTTCCAATGTCTCCAGTAGCAGTGACTTACTTACTGATGGTTTTAGGAAGATTGGAAACTTGAATTGCACGCGAAACTTCTCTGTGAAAAAGCTAGAAGGATGTGATTGTCAATACAACTTGGAAAAGAGAACATAAATATTTTTGAACAATCATTTTAAACATGTCACGCATAAAATTTGTCAACACCCTGTACTTTTTTTTTTTAAATCCTAATACATACAGATTTGCCATGGTAACATTGTGCTGGCAGTAAAAGCCTGAAATTGAGAGCTCAGGGCAATATCCCAACTCCAGGCAGAGTTAAAAAGTACCAGCTAGCTACAAAAGCAAAAACAAAAAACCCTGCACATACATTTGTGTAGTACTTTTTCCTGATGGTCTCTATTTTAATGTTTTGCTTACATTAGCTAATCCAAATTCTCACAAAAGTCCCATTAGTGTTATTTCATCCGTTTTATAGGTTTTTAAAGAAAAAAAGGTATCTCAAAGTTTTCAGGTCACATAGCTAACACTCATTCCCTTCTCCTTTATGGTCACACAGCTAACACTCATTCCTTTCTGAATGAGAAAGTGCAATATGTAGGAGTGGCAAAACCCCGCCTGGCTCCTTAGGATCTTGGTTGAGCCTGCAAATTAAACTGACATAAGCTAGATACGAGGATAAAGGCATAGAAATTTATTTAACACAGCTTTGCATGGCACAGAGCCCTAAGGAGATGACCCGAAGAAGCAGTGTCCTAAGTGACAGACACAAATACCAGTGTAGTCAAAGGCAGGGAAAAAACTCAAGGGACTAAAAAGTGAAAGCACTTCCTGTGTTCTTTCAGTCCTTGGGTCACTCTCCAGAGAGGGGCGGAGCAAATGGCTCTGGCTTTGTCTCCTCCCGCTCTCAGTTCTCAATAAGGTCCGATAGCAGCTTATAATTACTCATGGTCGCACGAGAAAGCTTATTGTCTTTCTAGAAGCGTTGGGAGAGTTTTAGCTATGTCTGGAAGAGGTAAGGGCGGGAAGGGTCTTGGCAAGGGCGGCGCTAAGCGCCACCGCAAAGTCCTGCGTGACAACATCCAGGGCATCACCAAGCCCGCCATCCGGCGCCTGGCCCGCCGCGGCGGAGTCAAGCGCATCTCCGGCCTCATCTATGAGGAGACCCGCGGGGTGCTCAAGGTTTTCCTGGAGAACGTGATCCGGGACGCCGTCACCTACACGGAGCACGCCAAGCGCAAGACGGTGACCGCCATGGACGTGGTCTACGCGCTCAAGCGCCAGGGCCGCACCCTCTACGGCTTTGGTGGTTAAGAGCCCCGTCCCACTTGAGTTCATTTCTAAAGGCCCTTTTCAGGGCCACCCACATGCTCACAAAAAAGCTGTGCAGGTTTTCCTTGGGGACCATACTCACTTCGCCAGCTCGGGTACAGAGGTTTGCCTGCGGAGTCTAGCGAGGTTATTGGAATGAAGCTAGAGTCGCCGAGACAAACGAGGTTGCCGGCAGGTCCCAGTGGACCTTTCCAATGAAGGACGCATGGCAGCCTGAGCGCCGGGTGGCCGGAGGGATTAGTCCTGCCTCCGCCTTAGCCATTAAAGGGATTATCAATTATTCCATAGTTTCGGTTTAGTAACGTCTAAATGGTGTAGAGGGAGTCCGATAAGGCGCCACATTTTTTTTTTTTTTTTAAGTTTTAGGAGGCTTCCCAAGTTAGAATTCAGTTTGCGCTGTGGCCGCGGGCTGTCGGCTTGTGAGCAGATTACTTAAAAGGTATTACCATTAAAAGGGGTGTTTACTCAGACTCTTTGTCTAGCGAAGTCAGGGAAAGTATGCACTTTGGCGTCCCGGGTCCTTCCCGCCCTCCTTCCACTCCCTCTGCCTCAAGTTAAACCAGAAGACTGACGTCTTGCTCAGAGGCGTCACCCCCTGAAGCCTGTTGTCTGGGTTGGACATTTCGGGTTTCCATTCTCAGGCTGGAGACTCGAAGCAGTCTCCAGTTCATGAATTCATGAGTTCCCACCCGCTAGACTAAGGCAATCTGTGCTATTTATATTTAAGGTTCCTAACCCTTTCCTGTTATTCCAAATTTGTGGCAGCGACTAGCCTTGGAGCAACAGGGAAGCTCCCTAACTGGAGAAAACATCTCAGTCCCTCCTTTTTCCAGCTCATTATCTCCTTGCCCTAAGCCTCAGAACTGATTTATAGTTTACTAAGAAAATTTCAAACAGTATGACATGGTTATGAGAAGTAGTTAAGTGGCCAAATTGAGAAACCATTCACCTAACTATTCAACATCCTTGATTTAATATACTTGAGAAATGTATTGATGGCTACTTTAGGAAAAAAAGAAGCAGAACTTCGGTGTCTGGTTACTTCACAAATAGGCCTTTCTAATCCTGGAGGAAACACTGAATATAGGGAGCAGAATAAATGACACTGTGGAGGTCAAGTGAGAGCTCTGGGTTGCAGACAAAAATTTGTGTGTCATCACCGTACACAATCTCAATCTGCCGTTTATAAATCCATGTATTCAAACACCAGTGAATGGAAAATATTGTGGAAAAAAGTACTGAATATTTACAGATATCTTCTTGCCATCATTCCCTAATCAAAATAATATTACATTTATATACTATTTGCATCGTATTGTGTATTATAAGTAATTAGAGATAATTTGAAGTATACTGGAAGATGTACATAGATTACAGGCAAATACTACAATGTATGTATAAAAGATTTCAACTTCTGAAGATATGGGGTATAAAACATGGATACTGAGGGATAACTAAATAGCAAGATTGGATGAATCCTAAGAAGTTAAACAATTTATTGCAGCATTCCTTGTACTTGTAAATGAGTGGACAGGGCAAAGTTGCACCAGGAGAAACTAGATAAACAACATATAATTTATATTCATAAAATAGAATACTACTGTAGCCCTACTTCAGAGTGAGAAAATTGTCCTCTAATATGTATTCTGGTATATTTTGGCTCAGGCAGGTCTTGGATCCCTTCATTGTTCTTGGCAATCATTTCTGGTGTCACCACTTAAATGCTCTGTGTTCTGGGAAATAGTTTATGTTCAATAGAAACAATGACCTAGCTATACAAGCCAGGTCAATTTGTAGCAGTACCAAAGCCTATGTTAGTGGTAGCTTCCAGCTAGCTGTTTCTCAATCTACTAGCAAGAATAATCCTTGTAAAGGTGTCAGGCCTACCCTCTGCTCAGAACATTCCAGTGGCTT